TACTATGGTGTGTATCTAGAGATCAGAGGACAATTTGTGGGAATTGACTCTTTCTTTCCACCATGTGGGTCCTGGGGATAGAACTCGAGACATTAGACTTGGTACCAAGTGGCTTTACCTGCTAAGTCATATCACCATCCCTAAAGTAGTTTATACACTTGCATTTTGAGCAAAGTTGAGGGAAGAAGTCTGTAGTGGCATCTTGTTCCACCAGTGGACTTGGGGTGGTGGAACAAGCCACACCCTTTAGGATTTGTCTACCACCTCAAGTCATGATCAATTCATTGAGAATTCTCCAATGTGAGAATGCTATGAAATGTGTATATGCAAATGAGAAATGAACTACGGATTACTCACTTTAAAGATTTGAAGTTGCTCTTCCATGAATGTACAGTATTATTTTCTGAGAAGACAAGAAGATGGCGTCTCCTTTCTCTCTCTCTCTCTCTCTCTCTCTCTCTCTCTCTCTCTCTCTCTGTGTGTGTGTGTGTGTGTGTGTGTGTGTAGCTGATGTCATGGAAATACAACAATTAGGGTCATTCAGCAGAGTTTCCATGAATGTCTTGTTCCCGAAGCAAATACAGTCCCTGGGAAAAGCAAAGCTCACTAACCTCTCATGCTTATAAAATGCCTCCTAAGCAGCTTTTATTAAGGGGACACACTGGTTAGACAGCTTATCATCTTGGGACACAGGAGTGAAGCTGTGGAGGCAATGCTTGATTGGAGGCAGGGCTGGGGCTTTGGGGACCCTGCCTGCTCCAGGTTCCCAAGGCTGAGAGATGGACCCTGCTGAGTGCTCCAGGATTAATGTCTTAGAGCCGTTATCTCTCTTGTCTCCCACTAGGCATAAGTTCTCAGAAATAGTCTTTGACAGACACAGGTCCTGATCCTACCCTAGCACCATGTCTGTCCTCATGCTGATGAGGACTTGGGCTGTTGCATCTGTTGGGGCACTTTGTTACAGAAACAAAAAGAAACAGGTGGCAGACATTAAGACTTTCACTCCATGCACTGTATGTAGCCAACTTGAATGGCAGTGCTCCCAGAGCCACCTGCACAAGGCAGGGCTGAATGTCAGTGCTCCCAGAGTCACCTGCACAAGGCAGGGCTGAATGTAAGTGCTCCCAGAGAAACCTGCACAAGGCAGGGCTGAATGTCAGTGCTCTTAGAGCCATCTGCACAAGGCAGGGCTGAATGTTAGTGCTCTCAGAGTCATCTGCACAAGGCAGGGCTGAATGTCAGTGCTCCCAGAGTCACTCACACAAGGCAGGGCTGAATGTCAGTGCTCCTGGAGTCACTCACACAAGGCAGGGCTGAATGTCAGTGCTCTCAGAGCCATCTGCACAAGGCAGGGCTGAATGTCAGTGCTCTCAGAGCCATCTGCACAAGGCAGGACTGAATGTTAGTGCTCTCAGAGCCATCTGCACAAGGCAGGACTGAATGTCAGTGCTCTCAGAGCCATCTGCACAAGGCAGGGCTGAATGTCAGTGCTCCCAGAGTCACTCACACAAGGCAGGGCTGAATGTTAGTGCTCCCGGAGCCACCTGCACAAGGCAGGGCTCAATGTCAGTGCTCCCAGAGTCACTCACACAAGGCAGGACTGAATGTTAGTGCTCCCGGAGCCACCTGCACAAGGCAGGGCTGAATGCCAGTGCTCCCAGGGCCACCTGCACAAGGCAGGGCTAATGTTGTGCTCCCCAGGGCCACCTGCACAAGACAGGGCTGAATGTCAGTGCTCCCAGAGTCACCTGCAGAAGGCAGGGCTTTAGTGTGACTTGTACTGAGTTCAGGCCCCACACCACCACTTCCTGTCTCTGTATTCCCAGATGAATCACTTTGCTCCTTGGAACCTCAGTTTCCTCCAGTACTAAGATACTTCTGTGAACCTTGATTTGTTTTCCACTGTCATTACAGCTTACCCATGTGGTCATGATGCTGGGGAGACAATACAAAGTTTACACAGCCCACAGGCCTGCACCCAGCAGGTGAAGGTAATTAATTCAATGCCCGAATGGCCTCCTTGCTTCATCTTTCTCTTGGCCCAGTCAGTTGGTCCTTGCTATCTCCCTTCTCCAGTTTATCCCATATCTATTGACCTTCTAGGAATCATTCAAAGACTACCCTTTTCATAAGAATCTTCTCTCTTCCTTACTGGAAGATATTTTTCTCTACATCATCTTTTGAACCTCTCTGGTGTTTACCATTTTCTTCCTGGTGCCTCAGTCATTCTGTGTTATTGTTTCCCTTTGTCTATAAGTTTCGTAGGAACCAACTGCCTGCTCTCCAATCTTGTTTCCTCTGAGTACCCAGTGGGATGCCTAGCACAAGTAGGTGTTCAAAACTAATGTGCCAGCTAGGATAGTTCTGTGTATATGAGAATCTCCATCTTCTCTGGAGATGAGATGGCATGTATAATGCAACTTTCCATTTGATCTACTCAAGGGGGACAAAAAAGATTTGTCCCCTGCAAGAAGCTGACCTTACATCATGCTCAGAGAATCCCTGTAAATAGTTGTAAATAATGACTCATCACATGAGCTAACATTATAAAGCCTTACTGGAGGGCTAGCCACAGTGCTAAAACTATAAAGCTGCGGAAATGGAGCGGAGAATTTCCCAAAGGTGGTGAACCCATAGTTATTGCCCCAAACACCTCCATTTTTATGACATTCCCTTAAATTGAATAGTATGGAGAGTTGTAAATCACAGTTATGATTATTATTTTTAAGTGAGAGGTGAGAAGTACCTGAGAATATGTCTATTGTCATATCTGAGGGATCTATTTTGACTCTGGGTCTCCTTGAAGGATCCAAGAATTAGGTTTAAGCCAAATTTGGCATGTCCTGCCAAACAGTGTGGTCTGAAACTCTGTTCAACAATATCCTTTACGTTGGATATCTCAGAGGGATTGCTGTGTGTTTGGAAGACTTTACTGTTTCAGAGGTTTTCACTGCAGATAAAGGGTTAACCTTAGGTAGCATTTCCAGGATGGTCCCTCAAGAAGATCCACTTAAGAAAGATTTCTCCGACCAAAGCAGCCTGAGAATCCTGCACAGCTGAGCCCTCTGTGTGATTCCTTGTAGACTGTGGTATCTCAAAGCCAAGGACCAAGAGTCACCTGGTAAAGAAATCTAAGTCAAAGTCCCTAGTGCTTCAAACATGGCTCCTTCCCAGCTTTCCTTCCTTGTTGTTCAAATATACCTACTAAAACCACAAGACACTATTTCATGGAATACTGCTTTAGTTCTTACTTGCTTATAATGGGAATGAATGGTTAGCCAGGAACAAGACACTAGGAAACACGTGAGGGGAAGGAAAGTCAGAGATAGTGTTAGAGGTGACCCACGAGGCCACCAAAACACGTGGCCAAGCTTCCTAAGGACCACCCTTGGTTCTTAGTCCAGACAAAAGTTTGACTTCTATCTTCTTCCAAATCTCAACCATCAGCAGGTAATATTATCAGACTTCGAGGACCACTGCTGTATTTCCATGTGATCTAACTCTGGGGTAGCAGAGGAAGAGGAAGGAGATTCTGCATAGCAGCATTTGCTCAGATGGTTATACAAAGAGGAAGGAAAGAAACAGAGAAAGAGAAACAGAGATTAAAGGGACAAATGGGAGTTGGGGCTGGTAGGCCATGGGCAGGATGGGAAGGAGACAGTGGAGATTAGTGACAGGCCAGTAGAAGTTAACAAACCCTCTCCCTGAAGCCAGGAGTAACAGCCATGCTAGGCACCTCCTTTAATGTGCAGAGAGCTCTTTCTGTCCCCTGGTGGAAGGGCACTTTTATAGGCAACCTTCTGTTCTTGGGCCTCTCACTGCTCAAAAATCTGCATTTCTCTGGCTGTTGGCAGGACTCTGCTGAGATCTTCTTAGAAGCCAGAATTGCAAGGGGTTGAGGAGGGACTTCCTCTTACCCAGAACTGTCAGACGGTCCACTTTGGGCATGCAAAGCAGCTAGGAGATCTTTGGCAAACTAAGGCAGCTAAGAAATACTGGAAGCAAACGCAAGATATGCAACACATTTGGGAATTAATTGTGTTGAAGGACATCCTAGGGTACCTTCTGACTGCTTGTTAGTATCAGAGAAAGAGTCACATAAAAATGATTTTTAAAATAAACATTATATATTCCTCAAGATGTGGAGATATGTGTGGGGTGGAACATTGGCTAGGATAAGAAGACAACTCCCTTTTCAATAATCAAAAATTTCAAATTGCTGTTCTATGATTCTGTTCCAGAATTAAGTAATTATGAAAAGTGATTCTCCCTGGAACAAAGTTATCCTCTGAGATAGGGACTGGAATTCATTAGAAAGTGCATTTTAAAATAAATCTCTATTTAGGAAACTGTTCAAATGGCTCCCTGACCTCATAGAGTGGGAATTTCATATAAATTACTCAGGGCCTTGGAATGCTTGGAATACTCTGGCCTATCAGGTAAGTCTCTTGTCAGAGTTGGCAGGGGTGGCAGGGCCTTAGGACACAAGCCTACAGCTCTTTGCTTGAGAACTTGGTTTCAGGCTGGTTTAAGTTGTATGTGATACTTTAGGTGTTTCATTGCTTTGCACAAACCACAAATCCACCAGAACTTAATCCCCCTCTGAAATGTAGGGCATCTCAGGAGAGCACTGGGAAGAAGAGTTTCTGTATGTTCCTGTGAGTGCGTGGGTGTTGATTTGTGCTTGCATTGCCGACACCATTTCTCTGCGTGTGTTATATAATTGGGATGGTTTGATCGTTTGAATGGAGTAACATAATTACCCATGGTACTGCACGTCTCTAATTCCAACTAAACACAATGGCAAAAACTAGACAAAATGTGGAACTAAAAAAAAAAAAAAACAACCTAAAATCAAAACAAAAAACCAAATCACACAATGTTACTGAGGTCATGCAAAGAAGAAAATAAAAAGGTTAAAAATGGGCAAGCAACAGACACTGTAAATGAAAGGAGGAAAAGAAAAAGCCAATGGCATACAATTCTGAAATCATTCTTACCTTCTTCAGTCATTGTGTCATAATATTTTAGTTTTCCATATGATCCAAGTTCTACAACATCACAGTAAAAGACACAAAGATAAGGCACGAGCTATAATGCAAGAACTTGTTTTTACACATTCTTAATTAATCAGATTCAGAGTTATACTGTCAAATTCGGCAATCGTAACTATATGGAGATGTGCAAACATGAGCCATGTGGCAGACGGCTTCACGGCCCATTTTTCAGAATCACTGAAAATATATTATTCAACAGAGGGTGGGCTGGGCCCTGCATAACAGAATAGGACACTTTGTTCAACACGAAACAAAACAGAATACTTGGCAAAGGTGTTTCAGCCCAGGCCTTGCCTCACCTTTTATACAGATGACACTCTAGGAGGAAAGGACTGAGCAAGGACAGCCTTCTAGAACCAGAGAACCTTGTAGACACTTGCCATCTTCAGTGGCCTCCAAGTCATTACATGGCTTTCCAAACCCCCATCAGAACCATCTCTTAGAGAGTTAGGAGGCTACCTGGAGAGAGGCAGTGTGAATGGCCCAATTTTAGCTCTCCTATCACTGGAGATCTCATAGTTTAGATGAAACACCAAGGGCCACTTGATGCTGGACGAGCTGCCAGTGGTACCAAGGGCACAGTGAGGCATCTTCCCAGAGCAGCACACCTGGCTGAGACAGGTGAGAGAGTAGCACAACTTGGAGGCCCACTGTGGTGCACAGAGCAGGGGTTGGGGAGCAGCCTTCAGGCTTCTGAGTGGAGATGACCCTGGAAACCTGTCTGTACTGGAGATCACTTGGAGGCAGGGATGGTTGGAGTCATCTGGTGACTGGGGGAGGGGGTATGTATCATTTCTCTTTTTCTTTAGTTTCTAAAGAAAAACTTTGATTTTTGTTCTTTTCAAAATTCCAGATTATTTTGAACAACGTTATAAGCAGATTAAAAATGTTTTGGTTGGCCATAATGATGTTCTACTAATAATCTTCAAGAAATATATGCTCATGGTCCACTGCCTTGGCTAGATACCAAAAACCCACACATGAATCAACCAGTAATCGATGAGTCTGTGTGAGATGCAGGAGCCTGCTTAAAGCAGATGACAAACATCCCTGCGATGGGTATTTATACCATACATTCTCTTTCTATATATTCCTTCCCACATGTCTAATTTTATCTAAAGCTATTTTGATACACCAGTGTAAAATTATGCCCTTAGGGAGAAAAATCTCCCCATCTTTATGTTCTTATGAATCTTACCTAGTCTGCCCTTTGTTAGAATCATTGCAAAAGAAGCAGATGCTTCAGTGAGAAGTTGAGTTTTATGTAAATAAGAATTATTTTTGGAGATTTCTAGGGATTGCTATTAGTGAAATATTTTTTCTGTAATTTTAAGAACAGTTGGTGTGTATGTTTACAAAAGAGAGAATTTTTAAGTGATGTACATATTTCATAAATATTAATTATATGTTCATAGTAGCATTTCAAAATAGGCATGTGTGTCTGTGTAATCTTGCAGTAAATTGATAAATTCTATCAGCCAACTAATAGTGTTTTTTTTTTGTAGGTGCCCTTCCTTCTGCCAGATAAAGCAGGGGAATAAACAGCTGGAATCCACTATGATCTGCTTAGGAAACAGGATGTGGGTGACCCTGTGTTTGCAAAGCTGGCTGTCAACCATGTTCTGCACAGAGATGTCACACCACTGCAAATCTTTCTATACGCAGCCACCTGTTTTCATGTATTGATCCTAATCTTGAAACATCTGTTCATGGCAGATGATATTGTGTTGAATTTCATCTTTAGTGCAACCATATATAATAAATACATTTACATTACTTAATTGTCATTCTATGTTGACACAGAATAGAAACTGCTCACACATAACAAGCCTCACAAATTCTTGCACCATGGCGATATCTAGATTGTTTCTGAGCTGCGTCCTTGGATGATGAATGGGACAGAGGGACAAGAACAGGGCACACTCCATGGAAAAAACAAGGCAGACAATGGGGGGATGAAGGCAATGAAAAGCTGCATAGCAACACATTACATGGTTATTCAAGCAGTAGGAAGGAGGAAGCCAAAAGGGATAGTATTCACTCAAGCAGAGGGGGACCATATTTGTGAGAAAGGATGGAGGGTGAAATCAACCCATTAAAACACAGTCTTCATCACTGGCTGCCATGGGATGGTGAGATGGAGAGTTCAGCAGCCACATCCTGAGAGAAGCAGGGCAGCATCTCTATGAGCCAGGCAGCCCTGTTCCCTGATCCTGGGGCCATGGGTGGTGCAGGGTGAGTGGTGCAACATGCAAGCAGGACAAATACAGTGTGCGTGCAGAAGCCAGAGCTCCTCACACATCTGGCTACTGGCCCATAGCCCAGGGATACCTCACGGAAAGTGGTCTCAGCCACTGTTTGCTGACAGTCTGTGGCCAGGCCTAGCCTGACTGTAAGGGCCCAGAAGGCATAATGAAAACTCACCTGTGTAAGAACTTGACCTCCAAATCACTCATCCCCACAACCCATTGACATCTTCTCAGGCCACCTTCATTCATCTTGCATCTGTCTGTCTGTCTGTCTGTCTGTCTGTCTGTCTATCTATGTATCTATTCATCCATCTATCTGTTTTTTGTTCTTGTTTTTGTTTTTGTTTTTTGTTTTTTTTTGATACAGGGTTTCTCTGAGCAACTCTGGCTGTCCTGGAACTTGCTCTGTAGACCAGGTTGGCCTCAAATTCAGAGATCCACCTGCCTCTGCCTTCTGAGTGCTGGGATTAAAGGTGTCTGTGACCACTGCCCTGCTACCTTCAACTTCTTTGAACGAAGATTGAGTTTCTTGAGGAAAGGAGAGGAGAGGCTGAGAAAGCTTAGAGGGTTAATGTTTGGTCCCACCTTGCAGCGTTCACTGTAGCAATTGAGTAAGAGGAAGCCAGGACTGGAAGAGTGGTGTGTCTCCCAAGTTTGCATTCTAGGAGTCACCTGGTGCCTTTTATTTGAAAGGTTTCTCCAAAAAGAGCATGTTTGGGGTGAGCCTATATCTGACTATGGATGACTTCTAGTATAGTGTCATACAAACCCACTGATGCATGCCTTCATTGGGCAAGAAGGCTGACCACTGACAGTGCCTACCATGGTGTTATACTAGATTTTGGGCCATCTGGAGATCTGGGAGCCAGGGTGGGGACTCAGTTCCTAGATCTCCAAGGAACTGAATGCTTTATTGTCTTTCTGTTCACCATGCTCCATGCTTGCCAGCAATCTTTCTACCTGACTTTAAGGGGCTGGACTCTGTGTTCTTGTTCATACCTCACACTGAACAAAATCAGAGAAGGGGTTTTGCTTCTAATCATAAAAGTCTGTACACAGAGCAACTAGGCAGCAGTATCCTCTCCTGCCAACCATCCTCTGCTGTCTCACCAGCAACTACCCCACCTGCAGGCTCTGCCAGCACCTGGAGGGACAGTGACAGCCACAGGCCCCAACTGCACCTGGAGGAAGAGACCCTAACTACACCTGGAGGAAGAGTGCCCACTAGAACTACAGGCCCCACCTGTACCAGTTGGAGGACGAGATCGTAGACAGCAGTATAAGAACACACTCAACGACACAAAGAGCAATATGGCACCATCAGAAACTATTGGTCCTTCATCAGCAAGACTTGAATAGCCCAACACAGATGAAGCAGAAGGAAATGACCTTAAAATAAATTTATGAAGATGATAGAGGCCCTTAAAGAAGAAATGAAAATTTCCCTTTGAGAAATGGAGGGAAAGACAAACGAAAAATTGGAATAAACCAATAAATCCCTTAACAAAAGCCACGAAAACCAAGAAAAAACATCCAAACAAGTTCAAGACTTGAAAATTGAAATAGAGGCAATAAAGAAAACACAAGCAGAGGGAATTTTGGAAATGGAAAATCTGGGTAATTGAACAGGAACTACAGATGCAAGCATCCCCAACAGAATGCAAGAGATGGAAGAGAGAATCTCAGGCATTGAAGTTGCAATAGAGGACATGGATTCATCAGTCAAAGGAAACATTAAATCCAACAAATTCTTAACGTGAAACATCCAGGAAATCTGGGACACTATGAAAAGACCAAACATAAGGAGAAGTCATCCAACTCAAAGGCACATAAAATATATTCAACAAAACTAAGGAAAAAAAACTTTCCCAACATAAAAAAAGAGTATGCCCATGAAGATACAAAAGCTTACAGAACACCAAATAAATTGGACAAAAAGAAGTCCCCTCACCATATAACAATCAAAACACAAAACATACAGAGTAAAGAAAGAATACTAAGAGCTGCAAAGGAAAAAGGTCAAGTAACATATAAAGGCAGACCTATCAGAATTACACCTGACTTCTCAGTGGAAACAATGAAAGCCAGAAAGTTATGGACAGGCATTCTGCAGACACTAAGAGACCACAAATGCCAGCCCAGCCTATTATACCCAGCAAAGCTTTCAATCACCATAGACAGAGAAAACAAGATATTCTACGACAAAACCATATTTAAGCAATACCTATCCACAAATCCAACCCTGCAGAAAGTACTAGAAGGAAAATTACAACCCAAGGAAGTTAGCTACACTCACATAAACATAGGCAATAGATAATTCCACATTATCAAAAGTCAATAAGAAAGGGAAACACACACACAATACCACCACCACCACCAAATCCAAAACTAACAAGAATCAACAATCAATGGTCATTAATATCTCTTAATATCAATGGTGTTAATTGGTCTATAAAAAGACACAGGCTAACAGAATAGGGAGATGAAGGCAGCGAAAACATAGGCAATAGATAATCTCACACCAGTAAACCCCAAAGAAGGGAAACACACAAACACTTCCACCACCACCACCAAAACCAAATATAACAGGAGTTAACAATCATTGATCATTAACATCTCTTAATATCAATGGTTTCAATTCATCTGTAAAAAGACAGAATGGATACAAAAACAGGGCCCATCCTTCTGCTGCATACAAGAAACATACCTCAACCTCAAAGACAGACATTACCTCAGAGTAAAGGG